TGAAACACATAGCATAACCTATATTCACTAAATATTTGTTATTTCTAACAAAGTTGACATGCAAAGTTACTTCCGAAAAACTCAGAAGGCAAGTATTTATGGTGTTAAAGTCATGTAAAATTTGAGTGTAAAGTGTTTTGTCTTAATAGTAACATTTTCTCTGTCAGTTATTCATTTGACAGTATTAAGATAATTAGTAAAATCTTAAAGTATTGTAATCTTTAAGAGTGTCTTATGGGGGACATGTCACTAATGTAACCTAACTAAAAATATTTAATTATAACACAAGGAATCCTATTAAAAGTAAGTATTTCTAGGACCTATATTTATGAACTATGTAAAGAAACGAAAGAAGTACATGTAAAAAGAAGACTATATTCTATATCATATTGTCATTTCTACATACAGTCACAGATGATAAAAATAGAGTTAATATCAACACCAATCAATCAAATACAGTTTGTAATCATTGGAGGGGAAGTGTCAATAATTATCTGCATTTTTATTTTTGCTACAACCTTTTACTGTTCCTTTCACATCATGAAAATTCAGTATTTGTTAAGTATTTATTGAATATTTTCTATCTTTTAAGAACTATGAACAAGTCTGTCTATTATTCCTTATACATACCACTGAACCAGTGTTAATTTGTAGTTTAGAGTCATAAAATTTTAAAATTTAATTTGTAGGTGCCATTGGAGCATTTCACCCATAGCATTGTACTAGCATTGTAGCTTCAGTAAATTAACTCTCATTTTAACATCCTGAATACTCACCATTCCATTCCAGATGCTGTGTTCTTCATCTAGTCCAGCTTCTCAGGTTATTTGCTCAGCATACAGATTAACTTAGCAAAAGAATAGAACCCTGACGCACACCTTTTCTAATTTTAAATCCAGCAGCATCCTCTTGTATATACTATATAAAGAACGCACCATCAGGATTGGAGGAAGACTCATTCACAACCTGCGATATGCAGATAACACAATCTTGCTTGTCGAAAGTGAAGAGGACTTCAAGCACTTAGTAAAATGAAAGACTACAGCCTTCAGTATGGATTACACCTCAACATAAAGAAAATAAATTTGTCACAACTGGACCAATAAGTAACGGAGAAAATACTGAATTTGTCAAAGATTTCATTTACTTGGATCCGCGGTCAGTGCCCAGGACAGCAGCAGACAAGAAATCGAACAACCTATTGCGTTGGGCAAATCTGCTGCAGAAGTCCTCTTTAAAGTGTTCAAAAGTAAAGATATCACTCTGAGGACTAAGGTGAGCCTGATCCAAGCCCTGTTACTTTCAATCTCCTCATATACATGTGAAAGCCGGACAATGAATAGGGAATACCAAAGAAGAACTGATGCATTCGAATTATGGTGTTGGTGAAGAATGTTGTATATATCATGGACTGCGAACAGGTCTGTCTTAGAAGAAGTACAGCCAGAACGTTCCTTAGAAGCGAGGATGATGAGGCTTGTCTCACTTACTTTGCACGTGCTATCAGGAGAGACCAGCCCCTAAAGAACGACATCATGCTTGGTTAAGTAGAGGGTCAGCAAAAAAGAGGAAGACCCTCAATGACATGGATTTACACAGTGGCTGCAACAATGAGCTCAAACATAACAAGGATTGTGAGGATGGTGCAGGAATGGACAGTATTTCATTCTGTTGTATATAGGGTCACTACGAGTTGTTCGGAAAACCTGGAGGAGTAGTGGTTAAGAGCTAAAGCTGCTAACCAAAAGGTTGGCAGTTCAAATTCACCAGGTGCTCCTTGGAAACTCTATGGGGCAGTTCTAGTCTGTCCTGTAGGTTAGCTCTGAGCCTCAATTGACTCGATGGCAACAGGTTTGGTTTTTTGTTTTTTTTTCATAAGTAGTTCACCAACAAGACGGCAGCTAATAACAACATACTCACCATCATGTGATAGGTTAGAAACTATGAAATACAAAATAGTCGTTTGAAGTGAGATGGACAATACACCATTTTCTTGGATATTTAGTTAGTGGAAAGCACAAGGACCTTGGAGTTTAATTGATCTGCATTTGGTAAGTCTGACTTTGAGTGACAACTTGGGCACTTAGTAATTTTTTGACTTGCCATCATGAAGCCTCAATTTCTTTATCTATAAAATAGGATTAATAAAACCTACTTCATAGATTGTTGTGATCATTATTTGTGATTATATATGGTAAATAACTGGCTCTTATTTCTTAACCTTCTTTGCCTTTAGCAGGTAACCTTCTCCCTTAAAACTTACAATTATCTAGATCAGTATACTGGAGATTAATGGTTAATGGTGCAGAATTTAATGTTGACTTATAGGGTAGAATAGATTGCCAAAATCATTTTACCTTTATTTTCTTGTTCTCTAGACCGTGCTGGAACACTCTGTGCCAGGTCAATTCAAAGTTCAGTTGAAGACCCTGATTCCTCTTTAATTCTTGCAGGACACAGAATGCCATAATTTAACAACTCGTTCTCTTTTGGCCTTTGATTGAAGAAACCAATACGCCACTAAGTTGTAAAAAGAATATGTAAATTAGATATTGCAGTGATTTGCACCTATGAAATTAAAATATACAACATAAATTTCCCAATTATAATGTCAACATTGCTAAAAGTCTGATGGGAACAAAGGTATAATTCATTTTAATCCAGCCATTTTCAGAGAATGAGAGCAATGCTGTTAGGTTAGACTAGTATAAATAGCACAAACTTACTTTGTGGTGCATGTGTGTGTATGTCTGTGTGAATGTGTACATACACATGTGTGTATTTTCTCCAAGATGAGTTTGGGAAATTCCTATACATGCTTTTTTCATGTTAGTCTGTTATAGGCTAGATGAGTAGAGATTCAAGCAACAGTAATACATTATTAGAAATGCTTCACAATTAGTTAATCATCAAAACAAGAAGAGAAATAAAAAGAAAGAATTACAGAGCAATTAAAATAAATTTAATCAAGGCATTTCTTGATTAAAAATTAATTAATTAATGTATTAATAAATTATATTTAAAATAAATGTATCTTTATGAAATGTTCTAATACTTATCTTCAGTAATATACCAATAATAATGATAATTATCAGATCTATATATTGGTAGGCAGTTTTTGCCACAATGGTGAAGATAATAGCTCACAGAATGTTAAGTAAAGTTTGGAAACAAGCAATGGTATTTCTTACATACACAAAACTGTAAACAATACATATCCAGAAGTGTCCTGAGATACAGAATATTTATGGGTTTAGAACTAGTAGTTGCTGAGGGGAGAACTCAGACATGGGATTTTCAATTGCTTGCTTCATATTCAGTAGTATATTTTACAAATAAAAAGTGTCGATAATATGATTATAAAAGTAAAACATTGTAGAAACAGGGCTATTATACAAAAGTAAATATATTTTTTAAATCATCGTAATCTCACAATATGAGACAACCATTGCTAACACTCTGTTCCATTACCTTCCCAGTTTTTATACACATCATACATATTTTATATATATTTTACAACATTAGAATTGATATGGTAGAAGGCATTAAGCTTAACCAATAAGAACCAAAACCAAACCTGATTCTGACTCATGGCGACTAATGTGGTACAGAATAGAACTGCTCTATAGGGTTTTCTTGGCTGTAATCTTTTTTTTTTTAAGCAAAAGCAAAGTTTTACTCGGCATATATATCAAAAAAGCAAAAGTGGGAAACGGACAACATGCTGCCAGAGCCATGTCTGCCCGAGTCCAAGAAAATATCACAAAACAGACAAAAGAGGGAAAACAGACAAGCATGCTGCTACAGCCATGTCTGCCCAGGTCCAAAGAATATTACAGAATAGGTAAGAATGGGAAAACGGACAAGCATGTTGCCACAGCCGTGTCTGTCCGAGTCCAAAGAACATTACAGTCATCAGTATATATTAACATTACAAACGGGCAAAACCATTGAAAGCTTCACCTTTTCACAGATTGGCTAGAAACTGTGATCCGACATTTTGAATTCTCTTTCTTAACAATCTTTGGTACAGGTTTCAGTAATGACAGTGAAGAGGGTTTTCATCGGTCCAACAAATTTTTATTCACTAAATGCTGATAGAAAAAAGGTAAGAGTGAAAAGTCTTTCGTGTTCTGTTTGAATGGTTTTATGTGAAAGGTTCCCTAAAAGATATTTTTCTTCCCTAAAAGCTAATTGCCAAGATTTGGCTGTAATCTTGAACGAAGTTGTTCACAAGGCCTTTCTTTCACAGAGCCACTGGGTGGCTTTGAACTATCAACCTTTAGGTTAGTAGCCAATTACAAACCGCTTGCGCTGCCAAAGCTCCTCGGCTGAACCACAAGACATCCTTGATACTTGACATGAGAATGACCAGAATGGTAATTTTATATGGTTTAAAGTAATAAAAAAGTAAAAATAGAGTAAAATACTTTTCATCAGTCAGAATATTTAACTGTTCGTTGTTGGCTCTGAAGTGTTCTATTTAAAACATACGGGGTAAAAGTCATTAAACTTACTTTTGGTAATTCCTATTCTTTCATAAACATAAGATTTCTGCAATAATTCTATATATAAGATTTAAAGAATTTTACTTGATAAGGGGATTAATTCATGAACATGTTTCATAAATCTCCTTCAAATAGTTATACTTTTTGGAAAAAACATATATTGATGGTTAAAATGCTGGGAAAAAAATTGGAACAGAATACAAAGCAGAAACAAGCATTTTTTTTTTTAAATATCGAAGCTATTCAAAACAAAAATTTTAACATTTTATCTAAAAGCAGGAAATAAATCTCTAAAAAAATCTATTTTTTTTAAAAGACTATTATTTAGGTAATGTATTTAGTTCCAGTAAGCATACTGAAATTTGAAGAGTATGATAGATGAGCTAATGTCTATATCACTAAAACTGTGGCTCAGCCCAAAAGTTAATGATCTTTAAACTTGACAAAGGTACCTATTCCATTAAGTGCCTAATGTTGTCCTAATTTCATGAGATGTTACAGAAGCATGCAAGGTAAGCTGTATTCTATTATGAATCAAAAACACTGAGTAAATCATTACTTTAAATAACCTTACTGTATTAATTAAAGTTACAGAACTAGAAGACTCACTGAATTAATTCTATTTCATTAGACAAGAACAATGATGCTTCACACAGAGATATACTTTATTTGCAATCTGATTGAGCATGCTTCTCTTTCTTAAGTTTATTTTTATTTAACTTTTTGAAGTGAAAATTTCACATCTTAGTTGGTGGGTTCTGCACATTTTTATTCTTCTCTATCATTTTCTGTTCTGAAAAATTATACTTTTAAAATCAAATGACGGCAACGAAATATAACATAGCCGTCAAAACATGAAGTTCTGTGTTTTTATCATCATCATTTATTATATATTTTAGGTTATAAATAGAAAAATACATTAGAGTACATACTTGATGACTATGATAAAGAAGGAAAAATTGTCTATTTACTAATTGTGTGAATAGTTTTGAAAATCCTAACTGCATACATTATATTTATGTATATTTGCTGCATGAATCATATCTACAATTTAGAGACTTAAAAACTTCTGGTCTAACCCTTAATTTAACAGATTAAAATATTGTACACCATAAAGCCTCAATGACCTGCTCAATATCTAATAGAAGCTGGCAGTTGGGATTCAGTTTTATTTTTGTCTAATTCCAAATTTTTTGCTTTTTTAACTGTATCATGCAGTACATTTCTTAATACCAATATGTTTCTTTCTGACATACTTTTGGTGACCTACTGGGTTTGCCTTATTTTCTTCCTTTTGGACTTTCTCATAAAATCTCTAATTGCTTTTTTTTCTACGTACAGACCTATCTAATTTACTTTTAAACTTAAGGCTCAAATATTACTAAAAAATTACTATTACTAATTTTACACAGTTGCTTTGTTTAACTTATCAGAACTTGGGTGTCTCTAGTTCTGTTGCTTTGCTACCAGTTTTTTCTGTCCTCAACACAAAGAAAATCAAGTTCTACTCCCCACTTAGTGAGATGATGCTCAGATCTATACTATCTTAAATTTTTTACTTAAAAAAAAAATTTCTTGTCTTATCACTTCCATAATATTTATAGAACAAGGAGGCTGCCATTTTAAATGGCTCTGGAGGATTTTCACTAAGGTAATAGCAAACTAGGTAATTCAGAACAACCTTCCTTCTGAGAACAATTACAAGAGATGGGCAAACTACTAGATGCTGGTGCAGTTCAGCTTGGAAGTATGAGAGGGCTAACGTGGGAATTAAGAAACACGAGACCATGTTCCGAAAGAAGACAGCCTGGAGATATGAACTTGGTTTCTCATTTAGGGTGACTCATAGTGATCCTATAGGACACAATGGAATTGTCCCATAGGGTTTCCAAGGAGCCGCTGGTGGATTCAAATCACCAACCTTTTGGTTAGCGTCGGAGCTCTTAACTACTGCACCACCAGGGCCCTCTCGTATAATAAAAACCCATTGGCATATTTCCTATAATAGTATCTGCTAATTTCATAAGAGACATCTGAGAGGCTTACAAACCTAGAACCACCTATACAATGTCAGAGCTACCTCAAGTGATTTGCAAACACATGAGAAATACATGATATGACTGTTTTTGCCGCTGAGTGTGTACGTGATTGTTATGAAGCAAACACTGACTAATACACACTGACGATACACATATGCTCAGGTTCTCATTATTTTCAGCTAAATAGCATGAGGTATCCATGTGTAAATTTTCTATTTCTTGCTTTGACTTAATTCAGCAATGGATTCTCAGTTATTTGTAGTTGCTGTTTCTTTTCTTTCTTATTTTCTTTTGTTATGTAAAATTTCTCATTTTAGGTTGCCATGTTTATTTATTCATTTGGCTTCTCCATTTTGCTCAACAAAGGGAATTATGTTCAATATTGCTTTATTTTGAGTGACCTTGTTTAATTCCCTACCCACTATTGTGAGATGTTTATCTAATCCATAGAACTATAGCTTAAGGGGTGAAGGCTAGGTGTTGTATTTATTTTCAGGTCGTCTGAGAATATACTGAGGATAGAAAAGCTGAGCTAAAGAAGTCATCAATCTTGGTTAGTGGACATGTACTGTATTCTTCAAGCTCTTATTTTATTAAATGGACTCTGACTACAGCCTTCAGTACGGATTTTGTCTGACTATGAAAAAAAATGAAAATCCTCACAACTGGACCAGTAAGTAACATCAAGATAAATGCAGAAAAAAAATTGAAACTGTCAACTATTTCACTCTGTTTGGATCAACAATCGACATCCGTGGAAGCAGCAGTCAAGAAATTAAATGACATATTACACTGGGAAAATTTGTGGCAAAAGACTCCTTCAAAGTTTTAAAAAGCGAAAACGTTACTTTGATAACTAAGGTGTGTCTGACCCAAGTCATGGTCTTTTCAATTGCCTCATATGCGTGTGAAAGTTGGATAGTGAAAAAGGAATAATGAAGAATTGATGCAGTCAAACGTAGTGTTGCGGAAGAATATTGAATATACGTGGACTGCCAAAGAACGAACAATTCAGTCTTAGAAGAAACACAACCAGGGTTTGCGTGCGTGCGGCAGCGCGGGACGGGTGGTCTGGTAGCTGAAGGTGGCGGCTGGGCACGACCAGGGCCTGGCGCAGAGAGAAAGGCGGCCCGCTGGCCCCTCGGTGCTCAGTTCTCCCAGGCGGAACAGTGCACGCTTACCTGCCAGGCTGCAGCAAGTGCCTCGACTCTGCACCACGGGTTTCTGCCTCCGCTGTGGGCGGGAAACGCTGCTGCTCTACTGCAACCTGCAGGTGGGGTGGGTCTGAAGAACCTGCTGGAGACGGAGAGACCTGGTGAACGCACCCTCAGAACCCTGCCAGCAGTCGCCTGTCCACTTGGCTGCTGGTGGCGGCCTTGCTTGCTTTCTTCTCTGGCAGCTGCAAACAAGAGCTGACCTCAACCAACAGGATATTTTTGGGGAAGCTCCGCTATACAAGGCAGCGAAAGTTGGGAGCCTGGAATGCCTTAGCCTGCTGGTAGCCAGTGATGCCCAAATTGATTTATGTAATCAGAATGGGCAGACAGCTGAAGACCTAGCTTGGTCATGTGGATTTCTGGAATGTGCCAAGTTTCTTACAACAGTTAAATGTATGCAGACTCTAAGACCAAGTTAACCACCCGGTCAGGGTCATTGTATTCAAGCACTCAGGCAGAAGCCACGTTTTGAGAGTACAGAAAATACCAGTGGGTAAAGGAAGCGTTACCATGATACGACATCAGCAATGATATCCCTTGATCCACGTCCTCTTCTGAATCCGGCCTGAATATCTGGCAGTTCCCTGTTGATGTACTGCTGTAACCGCTTGTGAAGGATCTTCAGCAAACGATCTTCAGAACGATCTTGTGTGATATTAATGATATTGTTCGACAATTTCCACATTCTGTTGGATCACCTTTCTTTGGAATGGGTACAAATACGGATCTCTTCCAGGCGGTTGGCCACATAGCTGTCTTCCAAATTTCTCGGCAAAGATGAGTGAGCACTTCCAGCAAAAATCCTCACAACTGAACCAATAAGCAATATCATGATAAACAGAGAAAAGACTGAAGTTGTAAAGGATTTCATTTATTTGGATCCACAATCAATGCCATGGAAGCAACAGTCAAGAAATCAAACCAAGCAGTGCACTGGGCAAATCTGCTACAAAAGATCTCTTCAAAGTGTTAAAAAGCAAAGATGTCACTTTAAGGACTAAGGTGCGCCTGACCCAAGCCATGGTGTCTTCAATTGCTTCATATGCATGCGAAAGCTGAGCAATGAATATGGAAGACCAAAGAAGAATCGATACCTTTGAATTATGATGTTGGCAAAGAATATTGAATATACCATGGAGTGCCAGAAAAACAAATTTGTCTTGGAAGAAGTACAGCCAGAATGTTCCTTAAGAGAGAAGACGGCCACGTTATCAGGAGGGACCAGTCCCTGGAGAAGGACATCATGCTTGCTAGAGTAGAGGGTAAGCAAAAAAGAGGAAGACTCTTGAGATGCATTGACACAGTGGATGCCACAATGGGCTCAAGCATAATAGCGATTCTGAGGGTGGCAAAGGACCAGGCAGTGTTTCGTTCCGTTGTACATAGGGTCACTATGAGTTGGAACTGACTTGACGACACCTAGTAACAGCAATTTCTTACATGTTCATCTTAGCTTGCCTTCTGGCATCATAGAACAAGTCTTGTCCTTGATAGGATCATGCATCTTTAAATCAGCTAATCCAGTCCTCCTATTTTACAAATGAAGCCCAGAGAGGTTAGCAATTTGCACAAAGTTACACAGCTAGCTAAGTTAGTGACAGAGCCATGACTTAGGATGCCCAGTCCAGTGAACATCTCCTCTTTTCCATACTGCTCTCAGCTCCTTAGATGTTTGAACACAGTTACCATTTCTCTTATTAGCCTTCATTTCTTCTGTTTATTATAATCTTTTTTTGTACCTTCCTATTACCTTTGAATTTTTTTTTAATGTCCAGAGATATGTCTGGTGTAAAAATTATTTTAAAATATTAAAAAAAGACTGATTGTATGTGACATTAAATATTTATATTAATGAGAAGTTTTACATCTTTTCCACTCTACCAGGAGAGCCCAAGTTGTCCAAAACATTTTACCGATCATTACTGGAGTTCCTTCACCCTGGAAATGATTAGCCAGTTCTCGTCCTTCAGAAGCCATTTCAGAGCCTTGACTAGAAGGCAACTGTGCTGTAGTAGATGAGCTAATTTCTTTTTTTTTTTTAATATTTTTTTCTGTACAAAAATTTATACATACATTGTCATGTGACTCTAATTGCTCTCCCCATACTGTGACAGGACACTCCTTCTTTCCACCCCTGATTCCCCATGTCCATTCAACCAGCTCCTAACCATCTCCACCTTCCCATCTCACCTCTGGACAGAAGCTGCCTGTTTAGTCTCTTGTATCTACTTGAGCTAAGAGGCACGCTCCTCACGAGTATCACTTTTTGTTCCACGGTCCAGTCCAATCCCTGCCTGAATAGCTGGCCTCGGAAAGTGTTTTAGTTCTGGGCTGACAGAGAATCCAGGAACCGTGCTTTCTGGGGTTCCTCTAGTCTCAGTCAGACCATTAAGAATGGTCTTCTTACTAGAATTTGACATCTGCACCCCACCTTTCTCGTGCTCCATCCAGGACTCTCTGTTGTGTTCCTTGTCAGGGTGGTCATTGGTGGTAGCCGGGCACCGATGAGCTACTTTCAATACTGAGGTCAAATAGTGAGTTTGGAGGCCAATTTTTTTTTTTTTTCACCTTTTTGTTTTCTTTTTTGGTTTGTTATTGAAAAAAAAAACAGCAATATAAACTTAAATAATAATAAGCGATAAGAAACTGACTTGACCATTGAAAGCAAGAAAACCCTTTTAAATGTTTCTAAAGACTTGATTTTATGCTTCTGGAACTATATAAAGAAGTTCCTGGATTTTTAACATGAGACTGAAACTAGTCATATTGGTGCCCAGGGGCTTTTATGGGTAGATTTAATTAACTAAAGAATGAGTTTTAAGTACTGGGTTCTTGTATGCCTGCTGTCCGACTTCTGAGTCTGAATCTCGTCATCTTTAAATTGGGACCAGTAATACCTGCTCTGTCCACATGACAGAGGAAATTTCAGGACTAAAAGAGACAATGTCTGTGAAGTTAATATGAAAACTGTAAAATGTTATCAAGTTCAGCACGTTATTTTTAAGGAATATTTCAGTATCATATACAATTTCAGGAGAAAGAGTGGTACAAACAATTAACATGCTCTGCTGCTAAATGAGAAGTTGGAGGTCTGAGTCCTCCCAGAGGCACCTCGGAAGAAAGGCCTGGCTATCTCCTTTTGAAAAAATCAGCCATTGAAAACTTTATGGAGCACAGTTCTACTCTGACACACATGGGGTCTACATGAGTCAGAATCAGTCCTTGGCAACTGGTTTAATACAATTTTAACTCTTGAGAAGGGAAAGAAAGATAGACAGATGAAGGGAGATATTTTTTGGAAAGGAAGTAACAGATGGTGCTAATAAGGGGCTGTTGCTTAACAGGAATGTGTAATGTTTGAATGTACCAAAACTTTCAGGGTTTTTTTTTCAATCTTTTTTAATTTTTTTTTATTGTACTTTAGATGAAGGTTTATAGAACAAATAGTTTCTCATTAAACAGTCAGTACACATATTGTTTTATGACATTGGTTAACAACCCCACAACATGTCAACACTCTCTCTTTTCGACCTTGGA